GCTAAAATCAGCGGGAATTTTTTTTTTTTGACAATTTGATCCTTTTAGTCCGTTATGTGCATGTCACGTGATTATCTAACGTGCAGATAGACGTCTTCGTCAAGTGAAAATATCGCACATACAATATTAAAATGTTGAGATACATATATACAACAAAGAGAAATGAAAAATATAATTGCTATAAATATGAAAGATTGAGGACTGCTTGAAAAATTTATACTATCTAATATTCCTCATTTTAATAGGAGGCTATAATTTTGATTATTTAAATACATAAATTTAAGAAAGTTTGACGGCGGAAAACGATAATCACGCGGGTCTATGCTTACCTTTTATTACTTGAAAAATGTAAAGTAATTATTTTAAAATATTTATAAAGTGTAATAAAAAAAGAGTAAAAATCAATAGATTTGAGTGTTTTATTAAAAATTAAAATTCGAAAAAAAATCAGGACTACAAGGGATACAACAGTTATAATGACTAGAATTTTAAGGGTATAAAAATCATTTATAAATACTAATAATAAGAAGTAGCCTTTTAAAGCTTAACTAGACATCAATTGTATCTACACTTCTTTATGTACATTTATCCTCTCCTATAAATTATTTTAAATAAGCTTTTCCAAACATATTTCTATGAATTGTGCTGCACGTACGGAAACAAAAACACTAGAAATGTAACAAAACACTCGCACAAGGATGGGGCCCGCACATTTTTTTTTCGTTTTTAAATACACAGTGGGACCCACTGCTGTCTCTTTTCTGGTGAAATTCTGGTGATTTTTTCTGTACAAATGGCTAAAGTCTATTTCTATTTTTCTTTCTCAATCACAGATGGGAACCAGGGTAAGTTCACCACAATATATTTCCTACTCATCTCAGCATATTTTTTTTTTTTGGCTTTATTCTGCTTGTTTGGCTTCTCTTAAAAGTTACCTTTTTTAAATTATGTTCTTATTTACATCTTAAAACAATAAAGTTTCATGGAAAAGTGTGTACATAATTTGGCCACATAATGATGTCCATAATATGATGTGGACAAGATTTGACTGTTGATGTGAAAGTGTGAAATTTGAATTAAAGGTTAGATTCAGTACCACGTGTAATTATGGACACTATTATGTACAAAATTATGTACATGTAGTACTTTCCAAGTTTCATAGGCTAAACGAAACATGCTTTAGTTAGAATTTCTTAGAAGTTAAAAGTAGGATGCACTTTCATAGAAAATTTCATTTAAAAATGGGTTCTTAGCTCGTTACAATAAATAATAAAATTGACTCCCTGGATTATTTATTGATTAATTGTGTACAGATGGAGTATTTATAAATATAGAAATGTTCTCATATTCACAATGAGGAGTCTTATCTTTTTCACTTGAAAAGAACCGTACTTACTATATAATGCCGAGATGGCCGAAAATGGGTGACCGAGGCTTTGACATCCTCTCACATCTGTCGACCCCACATGAATAAAAAATTTCAAAAACGAAGTGGCCCCCACCCCCTATTGTGAAAGTCGGTCAGCTCTTTTGTCAAAAATTTTCTTGTATTGTAGCATGGTCCTCTTACATTTGAGTAGAACCAAAAGTAAAGTTTTGCTATTGTATCAGCAAGTGGACAAGGCTTTTTGGTCACACTTTTCATGATCTAGTACATCCCTGTGGTAGTCGCTTATTGGATGAGAGATAATCCACCACTTCAATTTTATATACGGATGGGGAGGAGGGTCTAACTTGTCCACGTTCATTTGACTATTTCCCAAAGTGGAGGAGGTTCCACGGGAATCATGAGTGGGTCCCACCAGACTCCTTTTGAAGTTATCACCGTGGATTAAGCCTAGAGGGATTGGCGGCCCTTCTAAGATAAGATAGAAGGATGGGATAAGTTCTGGGACGCGTGATTTGAAGGACCTGAGTTGAATTTCATTGATCTCCAATAAGCCCGTTTGACCATATCATTATTTGGATAAAATGAAATTTTGAATAGTGATAAAAAATAGGGAAATATTTTAAATTTATGTATATAATATTTTATTGTGTGAATATGTGATTGAAAACGAGTTTGTAAAAAAAAAAAAAAAAATAGAGTTGAAATAATGGGTTATCAAGGAGGGGCTAAAACGATAAACAAAATATATTATTCAAAATATTTTTTTATAACCAAATAACAAGATAAAAAATATTTTGAACGATTACTTAATACTATGCACCTTGCGATTTTGAACGGTAAAAAATTGATTGTTCCCCAAATCAATGGACTTGGGGCTTGAAAACTTACGAAATCATCGGTGGCTTTAAACCAGAAGTGGTGATTGTTGTTATGGATTGAGGTGCAGGTGGGAGTCCCTTGTTTAATCTATTGACTTAAATACTATGTCGTATTTTGGGCACCGCTTGTTTAGCTTGCTGTTTTGGGTTGTGGTGGGTTGCGGGGGTGTGTGTGGATCTGTTCTGTGGTACGTGTTCGAATATGTGCGGGATGGTGTATGCGGTGTGTGTGTAGTAAAGTTGGAGGCGGTGGTGATGGGCTGTGATGGTGATTTGTGTGTGATGCATTGGAGGCAGCAGTGGTGGTGCTGTGGTGACAGTGAGATAATATCGATTTTTTTGGCGGTGTTAATGGAGATGGGGTGGAACAGATCATATAAAGAGTGTTTGTGATCAACTATTGGATAATTATGACCAATAAAATGGATAAATCTTGACCAATAAATAATATGTGACCTAAAAATGTGTTATCTTTGACTAAATTAATAATTGTGACATACAATTTGTGTACCTAGAAATAAATTGTGATCAATTAATTTGATAATTGGTGACCGTGAAATAAATTGTGATTATGGTATTGTGACTTTAACATATCTAAGTAATAAAATTTATTTAATTAATATCACTTCATTTTTGAAAGAATTTCAAAAGTTTGCCAGATTTGAAAGTATATTTTTAGTCAAGTTTCAATGTGTTCATCGATTGTGGACTTATGAGCCATCGTTCAAATTCAAATATGTAACACATTTATTCATGTGGACACACATTTGAATTCAAATTCAATAATCATTTTCACACTCATACAAATATCTCGCTCGTTCTATTTTACGAGGTCGAATTAAGGAATAAAATGTTCAAAATTATAATTAAAGTCAAAGATGAGCGATTGAGTCAAATTTCAAATTGTTCATTTATGATGGATTTAGGACCATCATTTGAATTAAAATATGAAACACCGTTTATTCATAATATACAAATATTTTGAATTTAAATTTCATAATCGTTTTACATTCATACAAATATCTTGCTCATTCTATTCTTACAAGGTCGAATTATGGACTAAATCGTTAAAAAATTGTAATTAAAGTAAAAAAAAAAGAGTAACCGAGTCAAACTTCAAGGCGTTCATTTATGGTGGACTTAGGATTATCATTCGAATTAAAATATGAAACACCATTTATTCATAATAGACAAATGTTTTGAATTCAAATTACATAATCGTTTTACACTCAGAAAAATATCTTGCTCGTTCTATTCTTACGATGTCGAATTATGGACTAAAATGTTAAAAATTGTGATTAAAGTAAAAAATGAGTAACTGAATCAAACTTCAAGGCGTTAATTTATGGTGGACTTAAGACCTTCATTCGAATTAAAATATGAAACCCCATTTATTCATAATAGACAAATATTTTAATCACGCTCATTCTATTCTTACAAGGTTGAATTATGGACTAAACTGTTAAAAAAATGTAATTAAAGTAAATAATGAGTAATTGAATCAAACTTCAAGGTGTTCATTTATGATGGACTTAGAACCATCATTCGAATTAAAATATGAATCACCATTTATTAATGATAGACAAATATTCTGAATTCAAATTTCATAATCCTTTTACACTCGTACAAATATCTTGCTCATCATATTCCTAGGAGGTCAAATTATTGTATAATAGGTTCAAAATTATAATTAAATTCGAATATGACTAATCGAGTCAAACTTCAACGTGTTCATTTAATTAAAAACGTGTGGACATGTCCACGTTCTGCACACCAGATTCCGTCGGCCAAAGACATACCTTGATGCCCGTAATATGATTTCTTTTATAAAATTATTCATGTGGGGCACTCCTCTTGGTAGCTCTTATTTCTTTTCCACAAAATAAAAAGAATACATTTTCATTACCAGATTTTTCTTCTACCCTTACCAGCAATGTCGATAGTTTCCAAGAAAATTCATCTCCATCGTCATTGAACATTAGGTGACGGGTTTCACCCCATAACCGCCACAGCTGACGGGTTTAAAAAAGGAAGGATCCGAAAATATCGATCTTTCTTTTAGTTATTGTACTACAACTTCATGTCTACTACTCATCAAAAAGAAAGGTTCCCACTGTCACTTCCCAAGTACGAGGTCACCATTGGTCCATTTGGCATCCAAAAAACACACCACATGGCCAATCCTACAATGGCTGTTGGTCCTTTTCTAGATCTTGAAATGAAAACACCAATTTTTGTTTAGCTCAAATCTTTACTGTATATTGAACAGCAACAAGATTTTAACTTCTTTTTGTCCTTTTTTTAATATCGTCAAATATTATATAGTCTACACTTTCGGACAAATCATTTAACATAATCAATCTCCCAATTTATTGATTATGTAACTGTCATCAACAATAGGACCAATGGACCATTCTACATCTCCTTCGCCTCTCTCCCTATTCATCTCTGCAACTGCATTAGACACAAATTTAACTCATGTCTGCCACCTCAATTGCCTTCCCATGCCAGTATTCCCCAGTTTATATAAATTATTCCATCAGAACAAAGAAATATTGCCTTTTCTTTCTTTTCTACTACTGGCTACTGCCTTTAGTAACAAGAATCCCGTTTCTTGAAAAGAAAAGCGGTGGAAAAAGTGTCATTTTCCCACGGCTTTGCTATATATAAACTCCCAACAAAGACTTGCTACCAACTAAGTTTAATATACTTTCATTCATTCAAAACCGAAAATGTCATTTTCATATTCAAAAAACTTCCTAAAAAGGTTCTGTGTGGAGGACTTTCATACAAGTAATGAAACCCAAAGTGGTTTCTTCTCTAGTGATCTCCTGCCATCACTTGGAGCTCAAATCAACCAGGCAATAAAAATTAGAAAATACATAATTTCCCCATTCAACCCGCGTTATAGGTGAATAACTTGCCTCCACTCTAGAGGATACAAATTGAGAGGCCACTAATTCTCATTTTCTGCTCTTCATTTCAGGGCCTGGGAGATGTTTCTTGTTCTCTTGGTTATTTATTCGGCCTGGATTTCTCCATTCGAGTTTGCATTTTTGCGTTACAAAAAAGATGCCCTGTTGTACATAGACCACGTTTTCGACAGCTTCTTCGCCATTGATATTCTTCTCACCTTCTTCGTGGCATATCTTGATAGCCAATCTTACCTTCTAGTTGATAATCGTCGAAAAATAGCGTCAAGGTAAACACAGCCATCTATAACTGTTTACAGGTTCAAGATATCTTTAATGAATACAGAAGCAGCAAAATTGTTTACTTGTGTTATATTCGACTAACAGGTATCTATCCACCTGGTTCATCTTTGATGTCTGCTCAACAGTACCATTTCAATCTATCAGCCTCCTTTTCACAGATCACAATGGTGGATTAGGGTTTCAATTTCTCAGTATGCTTCGACTTTGGCGTCTCAGAAGAGTCAGCTCCCTGTTCGCACGGTATTAAAATCTTTCATACAGTCCTGTCCTATCTAGAGCAGTAGTGTTACACAAAAACTCTTGGTAACCCACTACTGTTTTTTCTTCAGACTCGAAAAAGACATCCGGTTTAATTATTTCTGGACTCGGTGCACAAAGCTCATCTCTGTAAGTAACTGCTAGTTCTGTGTGTTACTACATACAAAATTGCCAGTGAATTTACATGTATAAATTGCTGCCTTTTCCCTCTGAATTCAGGTAACTTTGTTCACGGTTCATTTTGCTGGGTGCTTCAACTATATGATAGCAGATAGATATCCCAATCCCACAAAAACTTGGATTGGTGCAGTTTATCCTAATTTCAAAGATATGAGCCTTTGGGACAGATATATAACTGCAATGTATTGGTCCATAGTGACATTAACCACAACAGGTTATGGGGATTTGCACGCTGAGAACCCAAGAGAGATGCTGTTTGATATCTTTTACATGCTATTCAATTTGGGATTGACTGCTTACCTCATAGGGAACATGACAAACCTTGTAGTTCATTGGACCAGCCGCACCAGAAACTTTGTAAGCCTCCCCCTCCCTCGTCTCCTTCATTCTCTCCCAGTAAAGAAATCCATTCAGTACATATTTAGCTTGCTGATGAGTATAATGAACAAGATTTTGGTTTGTTGCTGCAGAGAGATACCATTAGATCTGCTTCAGAGTTCACAAAACGAAACCGTTTGCCTCCACATATACATGGGCAACTTTTGTCACACATATGTCTCAAATTCAAAACAGAAGGATTCAAACAGCAAGAGGCCCTCAATGGACTGCCCAAGGCCATTCGTTCCAACATTGCTCATTATCTATTTTACCCCATTGTTCAAAATGTCCATCTCTTCCAAGGAGTTTCAGTAGACTTCCTTTTCCAACTGGTATTCTTCTCTTTCTTCTTCCTCTCACGACATTTTCTCATGGAGGAACCAACAAATAAGTTTGAATTGTGTATTCTTCATTCATTCTCTGAAAAGGTCCCAGAATTGAAACCGGAGTATTATCCTCCTAAAGAAGATGTGATTTTTCAAAATGAGGCCCCAACAGATGCATATATACTTGTCTCAGGAGAAGTGGTAAGTAATCTAGCATACCTCAAACAAACTAGAAAGTGTAAATCCCTAAAAACTTCTTGGCCTTTTCACATACTTTATGAAATACTTTTTGGTTGTCGCAGGAGCTAATGTCAAGAATTGATGGGCAGGATCAAGTAAGCAATTTTTAGGCATTCTATATCAGTAAATTTGCATATAAATAAGAAAATGGATAGCACAGAATATCGAGTCATTCTTTCATATGCATACAGGTCCTAAGAAAGGCTGCAGCAGGGGAAATTTTTGGGGAAGTAGGGGTTTTATGTGGAAAGCCTCAGCCTATTGGTGTCCGAACAACTGAACTTTCTCAAATATTACGGCTGAACAGGAAAGCACTACTAAACATTCTTCAAGCAAATCCAGCAGATGAACAAACTATTATGAACAATCTTTTCCTGGTAAATTCAATGAGCTTCGTATGGCTATTGCTTCTAGTTTGTAAGAACTCAAACTGAACCGCTAATTTTAATTGCAGAAACAAAATAGATGGAGAAGCATAGACGTCGAGGGTTACCATGATCCAAGTTTGATCCAAAGTAATTGGCTATTTAAATCTAAAGGCATACATGACCCAGTATCGAGTTATGAAAATAATAGGAATTTAGACGAAAACAAAATTGAGTTATTTGGGCCAGAAATGGGTGAAAAAACCAGGATTAGTCAGCATATAGAAAATGGGGAAACTGCTTATGGCAACAGTCATCATCGCAAACAAACATATATCAGCTCAAGCAGTCTTACGTATCCAAACAGCGCAGACGTATTAAAATCAGACAAGAAGAGAGTCACCATTCACATGAAGTTTCAAAACCACAAGCAGTCTGGGAAGCTAATAATTCTACCTGATTCACTAGAAATGCTATTTGAAATAGCAGGTAAGCCTCATTTGAGCCCTAGACACATTCAAAACAAATGACTAGCCCTTGCTTGATAAAACTTATTGAGATTTTAAGCTGGTGAGACCATGTGTGGTTAAAAAGTGAATAAAAGTTGTGGGTCCAATCATATGTGTGGTTGAAATGAAATTCGACCATCTTAACATCTGGAAAAAGTTTTACCAACCAAGGGCTTAATGACAAAAAAATGATGACACAGGAAAAATTTCAAACTTCAAATACACTACATCACAGGTATTAACTTTTCACCTTAATTTATCTGATTCTCCTGCTTACCTCGTGAAATTGCAGGTCAAAAGTTTGGAGAGTACAACGTTACAAAAGTTGTAAATGCAGAGAATGCAGAAATTGATGACATTAGTGTTATACGTGACGGGGATCATTTGTTTCTGCTGCCGAGCTAGTAACAGCATAGAATGCGATGAGACCTAACAATTATCAAAGGCCACAATCTAGGCATGCAGAGAGCTAGGCACTTCAAACAAATTGTATATTGCAATATTCTAACAGAATTGAGTTTATACACATAATGGTGCATTTTTGGGTTGAAAAAAGGAGGGAAACTGGGTAAATATCATAAATCATAAGGGTGAAGTTGTTGACCAGGGAACACAATATATATAGAACAATATGCGTTTCCCAAAGCTTGTGGTCTGATTTAGTCTCAAGTTGTAGCTTGTAGGTGATCTACCATCCTATGAGGGTGTTTCTTCAATTGTCATGATCGATTCCGGTCGAATTACTGCTGGAAACTTGGGGATTTGACGACTGATTTATGCGGGTGAAAAATTGATATAAGGATTTTCTATCCCTAGGGTTTACAGTTAGAAATGTAATTAATTTAGATGAAGGAATATTATTACTATGTTGAATTAGATAACAAACATTTCAGATTTTTCTCTTCTCTAGTTATGATATTAGCAAACCAAACACCTGTAAGTCTTCTCGTTTTACCAGCGAGTTGGGCATAAATCACAGAAAGGATCTTTTACAATTCTGTTTTATCATCAAACTAAGTCATATTAATTTTAGCAAAGAAAAGCGAAGGAGGTAGATATGTTATTCTGAATTCTTGGATTCTATTGGGATCAATATTCTCTTCGAAAGAAAGAGCTTTGATTCCCCTAATTGACGAGTGTTTCAATCTGAGAATGATTTTTGTTATAATTTCAAAACTACCTTCACATTCGTTTTTCTAATATTTTCCATTTTCAAGTACAAAGGAGCAAAACATTCTTCAGGGAATGAAATCAAGTTCATATTCAGTTCATTCAGTATAAAATGTATAAGTTCTCAATGATCAATTGCTTATTATTAATTTTGTGGTAAATCATCGAATTTATTCCATAGAATACATCTTTTTTCGAAAATCATAATAACACTTACAATTTTCAATCCTTATCCTCCATTTCCTCAAATGCCGACACTTGAAACTGTAGTTTCTGGAGTATAAGTTTCTCCTTCAAACAATCCGATAGAATTACCTTAATGAAATGAGCACAGCGTAACAGTATGATAACAGGATCAGGAAAAACAATTTGAGCCCACAGACTTCACGATGTTACCTTAAAACGAATTTGCTGCCTTCAAAGGTTCTAAAGGCGTCCAACAATCGTTTCTTAGGATAGAATGAATTTCGTCTCCTACGGAAGCAGCACAGTAATCTGTAGGAGTTCTAGCGAACTCAATGAAGTGTATTTACTTCGGAAATAATATCAGAACGAGAGAGAGAGAGAGGGAGAATGAGATTCAATGCAGAGAATAATAGCAATGAAAATTGTGTAATGANGTGAAAATGGTGTAATTATTTTGGCGGTGGAGCTGGCAATTTATAGAATCGTTCGTGGCTATTCGAACATCCTTCAAGCCTTTTCAGAACAATCGTCACTGTTCATACAGGCAAAAAAAAAAAAAAAAGACCGAACAGACACCATGGTTCGGTTAAAAGTCGGTTAATCGACCATCCAAAATTATTACCAGAAAATAATCCCATTAATAATTTATTAAGTACCTAAGAATTTGATTAATTACAATTTGGTTTAAATTAAATAAATTTTGATAAAAAAGATAATATAATACAAACAAGCACACGAACCGGACCGGACCGGGCTCGGGCACGTGCTCGTGCCGTGCCGAGCCGAGTAGACTGGCCGGACGAACGGCGAGACGGCGCACGTGTGGGGTTTGAACCGAATCCCATAGGATATATGTCTCTTCCCTTCTAAAGACTATTGGTACCCCTTGGGGCCCAAACTCAATTCCCAACCTTACACTATATAAATCACACCAAAGTTTCCTAACTTTCATATGTGGGATAAGTGTATGGGAATTTTCAACAAATCAAATTCTTCACTAGTTTATAGTTCCAAATGAGCTACTTTGACATTAAATATTTCATTCAATTCTAAATTGTTTTCAATGAATAAATATATCACGTTGATCACCTCGCGGAGTAGAGTGTGAATATGTTTGGTCCCGTTTTAATTGACGCACGGGTCCCACTCAAAATGGGACTTAAAGTTGAACCATTTCAATAAACTATTTTCAACAATCCCCCACATGAATGAAATATGTCGGCCCTTTTCCAAACAATAGTATCTGATATGTTTTCGAAGTAAAATTGAAGAAAACTGCATCGGGATAAGTAGCCAAAGACTTTGAACTTTTCCTAGTAAAATCTATCGGATATACTTAGCTAATCAGTAGCAAAATGCTTTGAACAGTCAGCCGTTAGTGTACACCAAGACAAAGAAGTCACACAGTTTCCTTCAAACACAATTGGTTCTTACATTTGTGTCCATTTTGGCCATGGACATCTCCTAGTTCATGAGTGAATTTTAGAAAAGTTATCTTTACATAACTCTCTTAGAAGCAGCTCCTTCTCACCCACATAGGTGATTTCCATAAAGAGTATTCTGCTATATTCCACTTGAACGAATCAAGATATTGAAATCATTAAAAGCGTAACTTATGTTATTTCACGGCAGTTAGATACTGTCTTATCATAGGAATGGGTAGGAAAATAAAATCTCCCCAGTTCGTACTAAGTTTTCCACAGTTCGATTGTCCCATTGAGCCTAGATCTTGGGATTTCCAATCAACTAGGTTGGGTTGCCACCATGGAAACTTTTTTTATTATTATTTTATCAGTTTTAATCCCATCCCCCTCGATGAACTTTCGACTTGCTCTCTAGTTAAGCCTTTAGTTAGTGGATCCGCAATATTCTCTTTTGATTTCACATAATCTATCGTGATAATATCAGTAGAGAGCAACTGTCTAATGGTATTGTATCTACGACATATATGTCGAGATTTACCATCATATGTAGCATTCTGTGCCCTACCAATTGCTGATTGACTATCACAATGGATACATATAGCTGGCACAGGTTTTGTCCAACATGGAATATCTTCTAGAAAATTTCATAGCCATTCGGCTTCTTCCCCAGCTTTGTCCAA